CTGTGATGCGCAGCTGTATTTTCAGCATCATTTCTGCAGTCTTCAGTGTCACATGATCTTCAGAAATCATTCTAATATGCTGATTTGCTGCTCAAAAACATTTATTATTATTATTATTAATATTTAAAGCAGTTGAGTACATTTTTTTCAGGATTCTTTGATGAATAGAAAGATCCAAAAATCAGAATTTATCTGAAATAAATGGCTTTTGTTACATTATACACTCTACAATTCAAAAGCTTGGAGTCAGTATAATTTTTTTTTGTGGGGGAGAAATTATAGAAATGAATACTTTTGATGTATTAATACTATTTGATGTATGTATGAATGCTTTAAATTGATCAAAAGTGATAAAGACATTTATAATGTTACAAAAGATTTCTATTTCAGATAAATGCTGTTCTTCTGAACTTTCTATTCATCAAAGAAACCTGAAAAAATTATACTCGGCTGTTTTCAGCATAATAATAATAATAAATGTTTTTTTGAGCAGCAAATCAGCATATTAGAATGATTTCTGAAGGATCATGTGACACTGAAGACTGGAGCAATGATGCTGAAAATACAGCTGCGCATCACAGAAATAAATTACAGTTTAACACATTCACATAGAACACAGTTATTTTAAATAGTAAAAATATTTCACAATATTACTGCTTTTGCTGTATTTTGGATCCAATAAATGCAAGCTTGGTGAGCAGAAGAGAATTCTTTGAAAAAAAACTTCAAAAACCTTAACTTTTGACTGGTAGTGTATATTAGAATAAAACACTTACTAAAAAGCTTAAATATTTTATGGACCTGAATGTCATGTGATCGTTAATCAACATCAGAGTCACAAACATGTGATTGTATTCTGAAATTATAAACTTAGAATCTCAGGGGGGCTTCAAGGAAATATTTTAGCTCAAAGGGATTTGTCTGAATTTTTTAGGAACTAGTGTAGTCATAAAAGATGACAAAAAAGCCTCTAAACGCACCATGTTCTCCATACAGATGCTAATCTCCCCGTCGCTGTAAAACGCCCCGTAGAAACCCACGATGTACGGAGAGTTACACTCATGCAGGACCTGCAGCTCCCTGATGATCTGATGCCTGATGGCTGGCTTGATCTCCAGATGAATTAACTACAGAAACACAGAAAAGAAACACATGCAACACTTATCGGCTTTGTCCACACTAATACGTTTTCGAACGCATTTTTTCCTCTCCGTTTTGGCCTTCGGTCCACACTGAGACGGCGTTTTTGTCAAGGTTGTAGTGTGGACTGTGAAAACGGAGACTTTTGAAAACAATGCATTTTAGTCATGTGATGCATATTGTACCAATCGACTGGTATTGTGCCTGTTATGTGCTACTCATTTTCACACTGTTGCTAAAGATGTTGCTTTGTACACTCTTCATATTACAGTCCAGCAAAGATGACCGGAAATTTACTCACAATTGCTGACCTGCGGCAAAACATGAGGGCAGCTGCATCGCATTTTAGATCAAAAATATAATGGTGAGTAGTGATGCATCAGTGAATGATAAGATATTTCCATAAATAAAATGATCCCGCCAGAAGAACTGCATAAAAACTCATTGTCTGTCCCATCTGTATCAACTTTTATGAGGTCTTACACATGCACTGTTAGGCGAATTTAACGCTTTCCGACGTTTCAGTGCGGATGAGAAACGTTTGGAAAACGCGTGTGGATGGAGAGCATTTTAAAAACGAAAACACTGTTTTCAAAGTCTCCGGATGAATGTAGACGACGTAGTCATAGACGTGTAGAGTTTTAAATGTGAACCTTTTTATTTTTATCATGTCTATGGACAGCATCATGACATGCCATAAATTAGAAGAGAAAATAATTTCAACTCATCCTTCAGCTTGTATAAATGAACAGAAAACATTTAGGATAAACAGAGACAGGATGATGAATTTTGTAGGCCGAAACATGCATTTTAGCACTTTTGATTCGTTTTGTTTTGGGTTAAATGATGGAAGGTCTGTGCTTCACACAAGCTCGAGATATTTTCATGACTGATTTTAGGACATAAAATATTTCAGTAATTCCTCCCTGTGATTTTTAAGGCTTTTACTTGTCTTGAAAAAGTTGTCTAAATGGGATACAGAGGTTGTTAGACAGTAAACGTCACGCTGAACAGGTAAACTCATCCACTCACTAGTTCATGTTTATAATCTCGCTCTTGCAAACTCAAACTTTCAGGGAAAATGTTTTCAAGTAAGTTGTTGTTAGGGCTGCCCTCTAAGTCAATGAGAAAAATTGTATTTGTCGCTTAGCTCGTTCTAACATTAACCTAGAAAAATGTGCACTGTTCAAGTGTTTGTGCGGAGTGTGGAAGCTGAATAGTAGCGTGCTCACTCAGTCAGTGCAATCATTTGCATTTCACTTAAAATACTTTTTCCTCATACAGAGTAATACATCTTTCAAATCTGTAAAAGGTCTACTTTTATTTGTGTGCACTCACAATAACAAAATGCTGTGCTTTTGTAAAATAATGAAAGCAAACAGGGCGCGCTTTCTGCCATCTGCGTCTCAGACACGTCAAAAAATGAACCTAAACTCTGTGCTTGCCTCACAGACATGACAAATATATCAATAGAAATAGGTTAAATGAACCAAGTCAAATGGAAAACAAATATTTTCAGATTATGTAATCCGTATGAAACATGCACGTCCACTGTGGAAATGACAAGTCAGTGTCGTCGACTTCATTATTATGAATTATATGGTTTATTAATAAAAACGTGCGATTAGTCGAATTGCCAAAAGACTGCTAGTCGACTAGAAAAATCTTTAGTCGAGGGCAGCCCTGGTTGTTGCTACCAAAAAAGTCATGCTCATTTGTGAAGATCATCATGATGAACAAAACATTTTTTTGTGGGCCACAAATAGGGCTGTGCAATTAATCGAAATCGTCATAAAATCGCGATTTGAGCACATACTGTATACGCACTGCAGACGGAGTACGTGTGAACTTGGCACAACAAATCTAGTTCAACATCTGAGGCAACGCCACAAAGAGCTCTATGACCAATGCATGGCAAAAAAAATCCCTGGACATATGTCTATTCTAGAGACATTTTGTTACACCTTTACTTAGTGATTATTTTGCCTTATGTCTGTTCTAGAAACGTTACAGCTTTTTGATAAAACTCTAATTGGTTTTCTTTTGGAAATATGTCTCAAATTCACACTGAATGCATTTATGACTGTAAAGCATGTCTGTGTGTGTCAAAATCGTGATTAAAATCGAAATCTCAAAATTGATCAAAGAAATCGCGATAGTTTTTTTTTTGTCCATATCGCACAGCCCTAGCCACAAAGCTGATTTTCTGCACTAATCCAAAAGCGAATGGAAAAATGCTTTTTGTGAAAAATGCGAACTTTAAAAACACATCACTTACTATGAAAGTCAGTAGGAAGGTTAAAAAGCTGAAATGTGAACCTTATAGGCTTATACTAAGAAAAGTTTTCTGAGATGAGGGTTCATTTGGACAAACTAAGCAACGAGTCAGTATGTTTCTGATGAAAATGACAAATGATAAACGCTGGCAACTCACTTTCCGGGCCATTACGAGGCCAGAGGTTTTGTGGCACACTTTATTAACCACACCTCCGTTTCCAGCTCCCAGCTCACAGATATGCTGGAAATCGTCGTCTTTCAGTTCGCCCAGATTGGCTTTCTGCGTGAGAAATGCTTCCAGACGCTTCTTCTGATGCTCATCCAAATCGAGCTCTTCTAGCTTCTTCTGCAGGGCCTCCAGATTCGCTCTGAGATTTAAAAAATAAAGAAAAAGACATCAAGTAACATGCATACGATCTTCTCTTTCCATGTCGGCCTACTCACAGCTTTATAACTTACTCTGACGCAGCATCTATGGATGTAGAGGTCGTCTGTGCTTCTCCGGATCCGGTTATAACTATGGGCTGTGGTCTCTTTTTCGGAGCCATGGCTGATTTTTAAAAAGCTGACGGGACCTTTAATGTAAGGCGAGCTCAGACTGAGCTTTACTGTACAATAACTCTGATTTACAGCTTGTCATCGAGCTGATAAAGTTCCTAGATCAGTCTGATTACAAACAAAACTCCTCAGCCTGTTTACTATCCAGATCTGATCATTATTATATTAAAACACTAGGTGCACATGAACTGAGTGACATTCACTTCAATTCACACTAATGTGACACGGACTCTTATATTATACAGAGATAACAAACAAACTCTAAAATCTCCTGTTAACCTATAAACAACACGTGCTACTGTCACTAACACACATAAAAAAGCGAGTTCATTTTATAAAAGGAGTATAAATAAACTGGGAGTAATAAATAAACATTGTTTTGATTTCTCGCGACTAGCCTGCTAGCATCGCTATGTGTCTCTGCTGAGGTTTAAAGCGTCCGTCAGCGCTCACGGTCTCTCTCATACGACGGAAAAATGAGTTCCCGAACTCCGTGGCGAATGAAGCCGGTCCCGGTGAGCGGAATGTCCCGGGAGATGAGGATGAGGATGAGGATGAGGATGAGGAGGGCGCGGTGAATTTCGACACAGCTGCTCTCAGCAGGCTACCGGAAACACTAGAGCGCAGATCCCGCGGGAACTATCGCGAGACTTCTTCTTGAAATTTTATTGGCGCTTGACAAACAACAAAATGGTGTATTTCCGCCACCAACTGGTATGGAGTGTGGATCAAAAAAGTGTTTTACTTCCTTCATCATGTTTACCCATTTTAAAAAGTGTACTATTTAATCTTGTGTGTCCAAATCTCATCCTCGATATTACTATCTCATCTCTCCCACTTTCCTTTGAATTCTGTAAAACCACCGACCTTTTTTCTCCTTACCCATTGTTTTTGCCACCTTTCCTTCAGTCTTTTCTTAATAATACTCTTGATTTCATTCTTACTTGGATTAACAATTAAGTTAATGTCGTTGTTTTTAACTGCTTCTTTATCTGCAGTTTCATTTCCTTGGATACCAATATGCGCCGGCACCCATACAAATACCACTGTAATCCCCATCATTTGAATTCTATATAACGTTTGCATTATTTCCATTAAAATGTCTGGTCTACTTTCTGAGTGACTGTACTGTAAACTAACCAATGAGCAGTGTTGGGGGTAGTAACGCATTACAAGTAACGCGAGTTACGTAATCAGATTACTTTTTCAAGTAACTAGTAAAGTAACGCATTACTTTTAAAAGTAACTTTCCCCAACACTGCCAATGATGAACATGAATCTGAACAAATCACTGATTTCAAAGGTCTTATCTCTTCTATCCACTGTATTGCTAATAAAATCTACTGTAGCATCTGAAAGTAACCAAGGTTTTATTACAGGTAGCGATACAGTTGGACTAAAATTTAACTAATTAACTTCAAGTCCTGTTGCTTTCTGTATCACGGTCCATCCAAAACTTTACATTTTTTTTTAAACTTTTTCCCAACAGGGCTTTAAAGTATCTAGTGTTGGCTGCTCTTGACTATGGCCTTGTAAATTAACCCAATAATTCACTGATAACTGTACCCTTCTCATTTCTAATGACATTTCCCCCATTTCAACCTGTAGTGCTGTAATTGGTGTAGTTTTTATAGCTCCTGTACATAATCTCAATACCTGATGCTGTATATTATCTAACTTTCTAAGAGATGTTTCTGCTGCTGATCCATGCACACAACCATAATCTAACACAGATCTAACCAATCCACTGTATATGGCCTTTAATGCCACACTGTAAAAAATTACCGTGAATTTAACGGTAAAAGACTCTGTGCAGCACTTGGGGAATGGACCTTATTCAGGTTTTTGCGAATGAAAACGAGGCCGTGATGGATTAAACAAAGAAAGAAAGCAAATGTCTTGGAAAATTTGACTTAACACAGCTACTTAAAAGACAACCAGACAGTTTATTGGACTACACTATCGAAAAATTAAAAGGATATGACAGCACTGTCTGCTAAGTTTGGAGATGCAGAGTAGGCTAATTTCCAACCATAGACTGTAAAAAAAGATTTGACCTTTGATACCTAACTTACATAATTTGATTAACATCCCCTCTTTCCACATCATGTCGTATGCTTTCTCTATGTCAAAGAAGACCGCCACTACACTCTCTCTATTTATTTGTGCTTTTCTTATTTCGTGTTCTAAACACACAGCCGAATCCATTGTATTTCTCCCTCTCCTAAAACCACTCTGATATTTGGATAAAAATGTACAATTTTCCACATGATACATTAACCTTTCATTCACCATTTTTTCCATTATCTTACCAATATTAGACGTCAAAGCAATAGGTCTATAATTTCCTGGATTTGTACAATCTTTCCCAGGTTTACGTATTGGAACTATCACCGCCTCCTTCCAACTTTGTGGTAATATTCCTTCCTCCCAAATTTTATTGTACATTTTTAATAAAACATACCATGACATACCATTAAATAGCAAATCTGATCCATACCTGGAGCTGATTTCCTGGTTTTTCTAAGAGCTCGATTTAACTCTGACTTCGTAAATGTCATATTTAGTTGATCATTATTGTATTCCTCATTCTGTATTATCTCTTTATACTGCTCCAACGTCCTTTCCCTTCCTCTTTTTCCCTCCTCACTAATATTGTCTGATTATGTATTTTTACTAATTTTCGCCAACATTTCTGCTTTCTCTTCATCTTTTACAGCTGTTGTATCTTCATCCCTTAAACTTGGATACCCAAACTCTCTTTTTATCCCATTAATTCTTTTTATCATTCCCCATACTTGACCTATTTCTGTTTCCCTTCCCACTGTGTTACAAAACTTCCTCCAAAACTCTTTTTTTGTATATTTGATGATTCTCCTTACATTTGCTTGCTTCCTTTTATATTCAATAAAATTCTGAAAACTATGATTCTTTTTTAACATTTTAAAAGCTTTATTTCGAGATTTAATTGCTTGATCACATTCTTTTGTCCACCATGGTACAATCTTCTTTTTTTCCCTACCTCCCTTCTTTGGAATAGTCTGACTTGCTGCTAACAATATAGCATTACAAATATCATTATTAACCTTATCAACCTCTTCTTTAACTTCAATTTTTTCCATTTATTGTTCACTAATACTCCTAAATGCCTCCCAATCAGCATTTTCAAAAAACCGTTTGTCTACTCCTCCTGTATTACACTCTTCTATACATAAATTTACTTCAATCACTATAGGATAATGATCACTCCCTATAGTCGTTTCTCTAAACACCTCCCATAAGCATATACCCGCCAGTGAATTTGAAACAAGTGTAAGATCAATAGCTGCTTCTGTTCCTGTTCTTACATTAATCCTTGTTCCCCTTCCATCATTTAAACATACTAAATCCTTAATCTCCATCAATTCTTCAATCACTATTCCATTCCCATCATTACAATTGTCCCATTACGTGCTATGAGCATTAAAATCTCCGCAACATATGATTTTCCCTTCTAAATATACAATAAATTCATCCAATACCTCTAGTGATAGTCTTTTACATGGATTATAACTTAATCTCCATTAATTCTTCAATCACTATTCCATTCCCATCATTACAATTGTCCCATAACGTGCTATGAGCATTAAAATCTCCGCAACATATGATTTTCCCTTCTAAATGTACAATCAATTCATCCAATACCTCTAGTGATAATCTTTTACATGGATTATACAAATGTATAATTTTAACATTTCCTTTTTTTTCCAATACTTCTATTATTATAAATTCCAACTCTTTTCCTTTCCCTAAAACCTTATATTGTATTCCTTGTTTTACAAATATTATACACCCTCCACCAATATCTTCCTCTCTATCCCTGCGTATACTATCATAACCTACATAACAACTATCACGAGACTAGAGAGGAACGATTGCTAAAAGCTAATTTTGCATTTTATTAACTCCTGTAATGTCTGACCCCAAAGAAACTTTGACTTCTCTCAAAAAAAAAAAAAAAAATTATAATTATATTTTTAAACCTGGAATCTTTCTGACTTTTGCTAAATGTATTAGACGAATTCATAAACAGTGTTGGGGGTAACGCATTACAAGTAACGCTAGTTACGTAACGTTGACCAGATTACTTTTTTCAAGTAACTAGTAAAGTAACGCATTGCTTTTTAATTTACAATAAAATATCTGAGTTACTTTTCCAGTTACTTTGTTTTCCCATTTATTGATTGACAGCTGCAGAGGCGTAGTGTGCGCTGTGTGAACATGATGTTACTGTAGTTCTAGACTAAATGTCAACATGCATTTACTCATCTCACTTGCACAAAATCAGAGTATTTCCACAAAATGAATAAAAACTCAGAAAATGACATCTCATTTTATTAACCTATGTCTTTGCTGTTGACCTTCGGTGATTCAATTCAACCATACTAATAAACAAAAATGACTTTAGATAAACTTAACATTTGTGTTTCTTTTTTTTTATTTATTATTGCTTAACAGTGTTGAACTTTCTTCTCCTGCATCATATTCTTCATGCAATCCAGAATGGCAGCACAATTGAAAGGTTTGTTTGAGCTGCATCCTCTACTGCAGTGAATCTCAACCTTTTGGCGTACCGGACCACAGTCCAATTCAGAACCATCCTCAAGGACCCCAGAACAAAATTGACTAATCTATGTATCCTTTGTGTCGTTGTGAGGACCAAATGCAGTCAAGTATAATTCAAGTTAGTTGACTTGTCCAGTATTTGGCCATATCATCAGCTATATTGGATTTTTCTTTCATGGGAACATATGTCAAAATATACAAAATCTATACAAAAATTCATTCTTTATACGGACCCCCTGGCCTTTGGCCTTATGTCAAGGACCACTAGGGGTCCACGGACCCCTGGTTGAGAAACACTGCTCTACTGTACAGATGTGAATGAAAATTTCCTGCAGTCTGAGGCTTATTCCTTTGACTTTTGGTGTGAAAGGGATTTTTACATTTGAAAAAAGTAGAATTTTTTATATTAAAAAAAACAAACAAACAAGCAAGCCCAGCCCAGATGAGAAAAAGTAACGCAAAAGTAACGTAACACATTACTTTCCATATGTCAAGGACCACTAGGGGTCCACGGACCCCTGGTTGAGAAACACTGCTCTACTGTACAGATGTGAATTAAAATTTCCTGCAGTCTGAGGCTTATTCCTTTGACTTTTGGTGTGAAAGGGATTTTTACATTTGAAAAAAGTATAATTTGTAACGTAACGCATTACTTTCCATAAAAAGTAACTAACATAATTATTTACTTTTTAAAAGTAACGCAAAAGTAACGTAACATTACTTTCCATAAAAAGTAACTAACATAATTATTTACTTTTTAAAAGTAACGCAAAAGTAACGTAACATTACTTTCCATAAAAAGTAACTAACATCATTAGTTACTTCTTTAAAGTAACGCAAAAGTAACGTAACATTACTTTCCATAAAAAGTAACTAACATAATTAGTTACTTTTTTTTTTAAGAGTAACGTAACACATTACTTTCCATAAAAAGTAACTAACATAATTAGTTACTTTTTTTTTTAAGAGTAACGTAACACATTACTTTCCATAAAAAGTAACTAAGTAACCTTAGTTACTTTTTTAGGGAGTAAAGC